TTACTGTAGGCGTGCATCAAGGATCTGTCCTAAGCCCATATCTATTCAGTGTGATATTAGACGAACTGTCAGCCAGTGTACAGAAGTTACCACCGCCTTGGCTGCTGATGTACGCTGATGATATCGCACTGGTGGATGAGGACAAGGGACGTTTAATCCGGCGTGTGCACGAGTGGAAAGGGGCACTTGAGAACGGCGGGCTGAAAATTAATGCGACGAAGACAGAGTATATGGCTTGCAATAGCTCGGATCCTACCTCCATCTGGATCGACGACGTCATGGTAGGGCGTACGGATCACTTTAAGTATCTTGGATCTGAGCTCGATGCGTCCGGAGACATCGACCGCGACATCAAAGCCCGTATAACTGCGGCTTGGGCGAAGTGGCGTGAGGTGATTGGAGTTATTTGTGACCCTAAAATGCCGGTCGTGCTGAAGGGACAGGTCTATAAAAACCATCATTAGGCCTGTCCTTATGTACGGCAGTGAGGCATGGCCTCTGCTGGAGCGGCACCGGCGGTTGTTGCATGTCACGGAGATGAATATGCTGCGCTGGATGTGTGGCGTTACGCGGAAAGACCGCGTTCGTAACTCACACATTCGTGGCAGTTTGCATGTCCGTGACATTGCCGACAAATTGCAAGAAAGTCGCCTACGCTGGTACGGCCATGTCTTACGACGACCGGAAAACTACGTGGGTCACAAATGCCTCAATATGACCGTACCTGGCGCCAGGAGTAGAGGAAGGCCCAAAAGACGTTGGCTTGATGTCGTGCAAGATGACATGCGTGCCAATGGACTCCACAAGAAGGATGCCGAAGACCGGGCTAAGTGGAGGACACTGAGTGGGAAAGCGGACCCTGGGTTCTCCCGCCCTGGGCGGGACGAACAACCGGGACAAACGCTAGGGTGATGATGATATGTATTATTTTTTAAATGAGTCATTGTTACTTGAAACAGAAATAAATAAAAATAAATAACTGTAAGAAATAGATTTATTTAAAAACTAAACTACAATGAGCCTTTATAGCTGTTTTAATTTACAAACAATGCTTTTACTAATTAACTTCATTTTATAATATTATCTAATATTTATCAATCTATTCTTATATTACCTATAATTAAAATTTAATATTGTATTACTTATAAATTAAGATTTACATATATACATTTATACGAAAATATACGTACGTTGGGTTGAAAAATCCAAAGTTTGTAAAGTACCCGGAAAAAATATAAAAAGGAAGAACATAATTTACTGCTTATAGCTATAAAAATGAAAGCTGGTAAAATACAAAACACATTTTTTTTCGTTTTATTAATCAACCTTGAACGTTAATCCTGCAATTAGATTCCCGACAAAATATAGTTCAGAAACCATCTGTAAGCCAAATACATCAATCAAAAAAGTATTCTGAAGGTCAATACATCACGGCTATGTAGTTAAAAAATGAATTATATTTTTATTTTCTAACCTCAAAAGATACTTTCTAAACTCTAAAAACTATAAATTTTATATAGTATATGTTATAAAAAAGCTTTTCTTACAGAAAAAAAAATGTAGCAGTGCTGGAGATTAATCATGAATTAAGGTACGCCATTTTAATCGTAATGAGATACAAAAAAATTCTTATGTAAAATATAAAAAAAAAAAATTGTCTCGCTTTATATATTTATATAAAATTTGTAATCATAGCTATTTTTATTTTTTTTAACTCGTCTATTCATTTTAGTTAAAGTCTTGAATGAATGAAAATATCACTAAAACCGAAAATTTTCAGCATTTAACAGTTACATAAAAAAAGTAAAAGAAAAAGAGAAAAAAAAGCTTTAACTGAACAAGTAAAATTTATTTCCGGCTAAAAAGTTATTTTAAGTTACAGAAAAAAATGTGTAGAATTTTGCTGTTGAAAAAACTGTCATCGGCCACGAAAGCAGTTGTTTGTGAAATTTGTTGTATAAATATAAAATCATATTTTAAAATAATTACAATATGTTTTATAATTTTCTTTGTTCATCTATACCGAAACTAAATCAAATTGAAAAATTTAGTTTTTTGTGTCAAACTGAATGAACTGAAAATGTGGTTTATCAAATCTAATGTTTGTTCAATGCATGTTGATACACTGCTGACTTCAACTCGCGCCTATCTTTGACGTCTGAAATGTATTCCTTGACCATTGTACCGATGCTTCTTGTGCTGATTAATGCTTATTTGTACTTATTACAAGAAAGAAACCATCGAGAAGTGTATCGTTTGATATTTTAGAATATAAACTTGGGACAACTAGAGGTGCTGAGTTAGCGGTATTCGACTATGACTCCCTCATTTTAACCCGAGTAACTAGGTCTTATGAAATCAAAATTCTAAAAGATAAACATTCTAAGATATAGATAAAGTAATCAAAACTCAAAATTGAGAATAATATATGTATATGACACTTACACAGACAAAGGTATATTTAAATATTTTGCAAAAAAATGTTCCTTCTCGACCCATCCTTTTAATCTATAACTTACAGAAAAAGTTTGCAGACTTTAAGATTTATTTGTTCTATTAATATATACGTATATAGAGATCAGCAAAATTTAAACTTTCACCAAATATTTATGTAACATCTACATTACATAATATTAAATTGCCGTAAATTAATACAATAAAGAGAGACGTATCATTGAACTTACCAATTTGTTTTGCTATTGTTTTATCTGAAACAATGTAAGATAAATGAATGAGTTTAATGGTAGCTATTTTAATTATAATGATATTATTTATACCTGAAATAAATATTTTAATGTCCCAATAAAGTTTAAACATGTTTCTTATTCGATAAATTCTGAGTAATAAAATGAATAAATTGTTGGAATAATAATAAACTGTGTCCTCGCAACGATGTTTTCTCGTAATGTGGTACAGTCGAATTTTAGTAATAATGTATATGTTTTCTTATCTAAAAAAGTAATCATGACATTGTAATGTTGCTTTAGCATTTCTTATTTTCATGTTAGAGGCAGCGAAAGTTTTAGTGTTTTATAATTTATAATAACTTGTCAAGCAATTAAGAAATTGTGCGTGACAATAAGATTCAACAGTTTTAAAACGGGAATGGTTATGGTATTATGGTATTATAAACAAAAAATTAATTTATGTACTATTATAGAAACATTAAATGCAATAATATCTTTTACATATTATGTAATTTTATTAAATGTAAAATTTCCAACCGGCTTCCTGTACAGTTAAAGTTGATGACTAATACGAAAAGGAAATGTAACCCTAACAAAATAAACATGTCACCTATAAATCTTTTAGAAACAATTTTTACTATTAAGATTAAGAGTAAGAAGAAAATTAACTTGTATACATTTGGAATGATTGCATATATTATATACATATATTTTATATATACAGCTTCAAAGCCAGAAAAGCTATATCAAAAATAGTCTTACTTTAAATACATGAAATATGAAACAAATATATCAAAAATATTAGCAACATTAAATTATGATCACATGTTTTTTCGATCTTAAATAGTAATTTTAGAAAATGTATCTGATACATGCATAAGGCTTACATATATTTTTTTGTCATATAAATAATCACACATAACGGGAGAGTTACCTGGTAATATTCATAGGTGTTTACTTAATACTTTCATTGAAAAAACAAATAGTGAGGAGCTAGTTCGTTTACTCTGAGCAAATGTAAATACTACAAATGACGTCCTATATAGGTCTTGAAACATTTTAAATTAAATATATTTATTAGCACATCTCAGTTCGTTTTGAAACAAGACAATTTTATCCGTCGTATTTAAACAATATCTTACTTTTCAAAGTGAATTCTAAATTTAATCCTCTACCGTTTTTCTGTATTTTCTAAAATCGACTACTTGAAGTATTAATCTTTACCAGTCAACAACTAGAAATTACAAAAATGGTCTCAGGCAGAAATGGCATTCTTTACTCCAAAAAACTTATTCCAGAGAAATTCATAAGAATTCGGAAAATGTCATTTTAGTAATAATTAAAAATGTTGTGACAATTGAAATAAAGAAATCTCACCTTGTTCACTCTCATATATGTATGTATGGTGCGTACAAGCTACATAATTAGAAATAAATGAACATTGCCGGGGCAACATCGTCGTATGGAAAAAATATAATTTACAAATGACGCCAATAACTCTACGGAACGAACACCAAGCCGTGTGAGCCAGAAGATTCCTAATAAAACAACTCTCACGTTTGGTCTATCCTTAGGTTAATATTGTTAAAAGAACATTTTAAAAGTATAGAATATATTGAGTATGATTATACAATATAAAAATAAAATAAGTATGCCAGGGTTAATTGTACAGATAAGTATAAAAGTACATATGTATAGTTATTCTTTCTTGAAAATTAAATTTCAGAATAGTTATTCTCTAATCATTTGAATTCAGTTTAAAAAATAATAATAAAGAAAGTTATTTCCTCACGATCAACGAATAAAAAAATTAGTGCACATTCACGATTGCACAAATTAACGATTCAATACGTTTTAAAGATAAATGTTATATTTCTTAATAAAATGTTAAGGGTTATACTTAAAACCTAGTTAGTTAATTTATTTTCAAATTATTTTTCTTCCTTACCGTAGACATTATTTTATTTTGACCTTTTTTAATTAGTCTTAATAAGAAACCTTTCGTATTTTTAAGTAATATCTTATAATAAAATAATATTTAATATTTGTTTCAGTTTTTTTAGTCTCGAAATTATAAATAAGTTCCTTTAAAATAAAAAGTTTTACATTTTTTAACGTCAATGTTTGTTTTTATTCATATTTTGTAGAAACTTTTAATAGCACGTCATAGTGTATACAGAGCCGATATATTAGTGTCTATATAAAAACGTATCATTCGATTATTATCATACACACTTATCTGGATTCGCAGGCAATTACACGTCGTAGACAATGAAGTTCATAATTTGCTCAGTTTTGCTTACGTTGGCCACAATGTCGCAAGGAAATAAACCACACTACGATATAAACGAGGCTCCTGCCTTGTTTGAGAAATTCATCAAGGACTTCGACAAAACTTACAAGGACGCAGAAGATAGAGAAATTCATTATCAGGCTTTTGTACAATCGTTGAAGGACATCAACAGACTTAATGCGGAGCAACCTGATACTACATATGATATCAACCAATTTGCCGATTATACAGAAGCTGACCAACAATGCATGCGTGGACTGAGATTGCCAGGTAAGAAAAAGTAATTTTCTTAAGTACCTTTAAGATGTGTTGTATTAAAAATATGTTTTACACCATCTTCATATTACATTACAAAGATTTTGTTTGACTCGTTCAGTCATTCAAGTAATAGATTATGAAAATTAGAATAAACTATTTTTTTTAATGTATCTTTTTGAATAATTTCAAATGTGAAAGACGACTCGATGACTTTAAATAATTATATTTTTTTATTTTATTCTAGAAGATGAATAGAAGAAAGTGACTATAGGTTCCATCTTCAAAACTAAGACACATTGCAATTGGATTTAAAGTATAGTTTTTTATTTTTGGTGTGAATAATTTTTTTTTTTAATTCAGTTACTTAGTTATATTAATTTAACCTGCCCCTTTACATAAAATGGTACTTATCAGGCTCAATCAATATTTCAAGCATTGTATATAAAAATACATTAATAATATTTTTATACACACTATAGAAGTAAAAGCATTCTACTTGGTATTGTCTCATACAATCAAATATGCAAAAGCGGGACATTTCTAAAATATATATGGGTTAAAAAAAGTAATAAACAATAAATTTGCGAATTGGTTTACATAAGGTATATTTTATATTTTTTTATCGTAGGATTTGATAATGACAAAAAGAGTTGAAGGAAATAGTTTTTCCATTTCTTTGAATTTTTTGACACTATTCATTTAAAATGTTATCATTTTGTATAAATCAAAGGCATTTCAAGGAAATGATAACATATACCTTTATGGATCTTCAATATCTATAGTTATCATTGAGTAAAACGTCTAACCGGAAATGTTAGATAAATAACAATTTATTGTTTGATAAAATGTTATACTTTTATTTTCTTTTTTTAACAGTATTTATATTTATTCTCATAATGTAAGAAAAACTACAGAAAATTACTGTAATTTAGTCTTAGTATACTAAGAAGAAATGGTTTCAAATTAATGGTCTTATTTAAAAAGAGATAGAAAATTGTTTGTTACTATCAGGTATCGACACAAGATAAACATGTAACATATTTTATGTTTTCTATGATTAATCAGCTATTAAAAACTTTCTTTCTTTTCATAAAGACTGGTTTTTTCTACGTTTTATTGAGAAAAAATAGATAAAAAATTCATAACATGTTAATTTAGTATTAATATAGAGGTAAAATTTAATCTTTATTAAAAAAAAACATCAAAAATAATTTGTCTGTTACTTTCTTATTCATTAGACAAAGAAGAAAAAAAAAAAATATTAAAAATACTGATTTTTTTTACTTGAGATTCTAAACTATTAAACCAAGCCATCTTTTCTAACTTTCCACTGTGTGTTAGTGAGACAATAATAGTTGTTTCTATAAGAAGATAATCATTTTAATTTTCGTTTTGATTAAGTGACTATGTTACACTCCCCAATCAAAAAAAATATATTACATAATATTATCCAATCAGGAAGATGAGAGAATTTTGTAAAATATTAATCATTTTGTAGATAGCCGAAGTTCTTTGTAAATCTGTCCCCGATTATGAAAGTTTACTAGTAAGATTGGAAACAACTTTTATTCAGTATAAATTTTAGTGCAGTTATGTGATTTATGAAATTAAAACTATTGTTTTGTAATATTTTGGTAAAAAGGTTTAATTAATACGTGGCCTTAAACAAAACTTGATATAGAAAGTAAGCAATTGAGCAATAGCATGTCTCTTTTTCTCTTTATCTCGTTTTGCGTAGTTTGGCATCGCAGTTAATGTAATAAAAGTGTTATTAATTAATTAATTATTTAATAGGGATTTGCATGAATATAATCGTTAGAATTTTGTGGTCCCACCGTAGTCATATTACAGATGGGGCTGAGAGCGGAGCATGCGGCATTAGTATACTCATCAGACAATTATTAATATATGTGACGATATATCGGGTTTAATACGTGACTTGTGATTCAGAAATAATATTTATATTATTTGGCATAAAAATGTTTTTTTGAATATTTTAGCTCAATTCATTCAATTCGTAGTTGCATTCAAGTTGTCCTGTCATGTTACAAATATTATTGAGCCCAGGGAGCAAGGTAAGAGATGAAGTATAATTTTAAAACCATAGACCATCGACAACAATAAAAGTCCTTATTTCTGACTGACATAATTCTAATTAAAGCAAAATGTACAAACCTTAATTTAGAATAATGAACTCCAGGAAGAGGATATTGAAGTTGTATGAACTATTTTAACAACTGACAAACAACTAACAGTTATGTAGAACAAGTTTAGCAAAAAGTATATTAAGAAAAGTTTATAATAAAGGTAATACGATATAAATGAGTCTTCTGCCTTGTTGTAGACTTTCTAAAGACTTCAACAAACCTTTTAAAAAAAATAGAGCAGATAAAGAAATTCATTACCAGGTTTTTCTTTAATGCTTAAAGGAAGAACCTGATACTACATATGATATTATACATTGGTTAAAGAATACTAATCAATAGATTATTTTAAAGTTTTGAGTTACATTTTTATGATATGAATAATGAAATAAGAGTTTATAAATAAAAAAACTTTTTGATTATTTATTAATCGTTTTAGTATCATAATTAGAAAATAAATTCAGGAGTATACCTATGTCAATACGAATTCGATTACTAAAGTAACTAAATTTAAGATGGACTTATTCATTGAACAGTTTCTCTTTTCCCAAAATGAATGAAATGAAAAGAATTGTTCTTGTTATGGGATTAGTCAGGTAGTAATATATTGTAAATTTTTTTGTCAGTGATGTATAAATAACGTCAAAATATCCGCACAAAGTAAATTTAGCTAGGAATAAAAATTATTTATGTAAATAACTTCTACTTAAGCATAAAAATATATATTGTTATAATAAAATACCTTAAATACAAGTGAAACGGAAAAAAGGTGGTAAGAAAAGGGGAGTCGTTGTAAGGACAGGGTAAGACATAGTTTTTGTACAAAATACATTTTTAAAATTATTATTATTTGCAAGAGGTTGAAGACGAGTATATCATTATCATATTTTTTGCAATCATTACTATAAATAAATTGAGAAAGTGCTCCCAAATGGACTTGTTTCGACGATTCATTGGATATGGTAATATGGTCAATAACTCAAAAAAAAAAAACAGTAAAATCAAAATAGATAAGATATAAGAGTTATATATGAAATATTTGGTAATCTTCAGATAAAAATACGTTGATATTTTTTATCGATCATCGCATCTTCGCGGAAATGCTAGATGACATGATATTATTATAAAATATTAAATATATTCATCCTTAATTTCCTGTTATTAATAATATTGTATGCGATGCAATAAGTTTTATGTAATATGTATGTATTATTATAATTATTTAAGTAAAATTATTTAAAGTTACTGTGTTGAATAAATTTCCTTAAATCATGAAGGAAAATTGTGTGGTTAATGGAGAAGTTGTTTTTTAGTAGAAAATAATTTCTCTTTGTGCGTTAGAAAAACCTTATTAGATTATTTTTAAAACAGTCTGTCCTAATTGAGACACTTGCTAGTCTTATTATTAGGAACAAAACCCGAAAATCTTGTAAATCTTGTTTAATTTCAGTTTCAATAGACAGTTCCGTTGCACAGAACAAAGGCAAGTTATAGAATACGTTTTAGACAAAGAGAAGATTTATATTGTAATTATGTGTTGGGGCAGTATTAGAAAAACTGTTAATAGTTGCGCCTGTGTAAATAAGATGGTTGACGGTTGTTGACATTATTGCTCTGTGAATTGTAGCAGGAGCCGCGACACAGTCTTTATGTCATAGTTCTTGGTATAGTGTCTGTATTCCAAGAAAGAATGATATTAAATGAGAACTGGGATAGTCAGTTTGCTGGAGCTTGGTTTCATAAGAAAAAAAAAATTTTGTCCGTAACATAAACAAAAAAATATTTTTCTTTTTAGTAGCAAATAGAGGAAGTTTATAAGAAATTGTATTATATATAAGTTAAAAAAATATTTAGTTTATAAATGATTCTTGTAAGATGAGTAGTAATTTACCAATCTTTTAGAACTTAATGACTAAAGAAGTATTTGCTTATTGCTGTAATAGGATTATTGTATCGAAAAAAACCTTTTTAATATTGTACAATGAAATTGACGGAACTGTTTTGTGATTTTTTTTAATTGGAGTAGTTACATATATATATATTTTAATTATATGACATAAGAATATTAGGTATATAAATTTACATATATAAATTCTTTGACATTGCGTTATGCCATGTCTTCGTAACAAGAAATATTTTTACACATTTAATTTACCTTATTAATGTGTCTTGGATTCTGGATTTACTAAATTATGTACATACATAAGTTAATTAAAATGTTGTGGCAATACAATTGTACCCTAAACGTGGATAAAAAGGAGAGCCCTAAATAAAGACCTAAACCAGATCTTGACCCTTACTAGGTCGTTACTTAATTATGAATTTTATAAACACCACAAATATTAAAAAAAACTGTCAATTCATGAATTAGGCCGTAAAAAGTTAAATTAGAAACCAAAGTCAGCAGATTACGTTAACTTTTTTTATTAATTTCATATTGTAATTAAACTCATAATTTTTTCTTTGATTATTTTGTTTTAATATCGTATTGACTAGAACAAAACTTTAGGTGGACTATATTGATAGAAGTCAAAGTAAAAAAATATTTGTTGTAGATTCCAAGAAATCTTTCTGAAATTAATAAATTCCAAATAAAAATATTACCTTGAATTAGAACTGATTAGATATTAAGGTGGCTCCATATGTAGAAGTGTGAAGTGCATATATAGTACACATATAGTACATATACATATGTCTGGCATCATCAAGTTCACTCAACCACGTTGAAGAGAATATTATGATGCGATAATCGGCTCAACTACTGCTAACAGCTGCTGTTGATTTAAATTTTTATGGCAATATTGAATGCTTTTTCAATTATATCGAATTCATTATACAGGGTGACTGGTGAATTACTATCGATACTTGAGGACGTGATATTTGACAATTATATATGACAAAATCAAAATTTATATAACATAAATATTAATAAACTTCTAAGTAAAGTTAACCAAAAGTTATGTAAGTCATTACGCATCGTGTGAACACCCTACAGATTAGGTATACACACACACACACACGCGCGTTTGGCGGCGTGGTGTTGTATCAGCACGCCGCCGCACGCGTCCACACTTGGAACACTTGGAACGTGTCCTCACTTTATTTATTTATACGGAAATTTAGTCAAAAATTAAGTACCTATTTTTTTTACATAATTCGAATGAGAATCATGTACCGAGTATTCTCCTTAAATATTGATAGTAATTCACCAGTCACCCTGTATACCGAGGTGAGCTAACAGGGAAAAAATATGTGATAAACGTTTCGTGTTTGATAGAGAGTTTAATGATAGAAGGTTTGAGAGCTATAGCACTCAGCCTATAGCAGTCCACTGCTGGACATAGGCCTCTCCCAACACGCGCCCTAACACTCGGTCCTCTGCCTTCCGCATCCAGTGAGACCCAGCGACCTTTTTAAGGTCATCGGTCCACCTAGCTGGGGGGCGTCCTACTCTACGTTTGCCGAGACGCGGTCTCCACTCAAGGACACGATTGAAAGTCAAAGTCTAGTTGATTTGAAAACAAAACTTTATTTTTGATATTTTTTTTAAAGAATCTTTATTATAGAAGTGTGAGGTACGTAACACAAAAAAGATTTTTCACCTTCCCTTTCTTCTTCTTTCTCTAGCTGGCAATTTCTCAGCTTTAGCCAGGGTCTGCTTTACATGTTGTGAATAGTTTTGGCTAATTATTTTTACGACCGGCCGCCTGCCTGACATCAACCGTCTTTTAGGAATGTATTAATCAGTGAAGTCTAAATACTCTCAGGAAGTACGTATGACTCGGAAAATCACATTGGTACTTGCCAGGGCCAGGAACTTTTCCCTTTCTATACCATAAATATTATTAAAGATTCAATTATATAACTATCGGGGGGTTAGGTAAATATCTACAAAAGAATATTATGGGATATATCACCATAAACAATACATTTTAATTTAATAAAATATAAAGAATTTTTACAAAGCAATAACAACTATGTGTCTAATTCTAAAGCAAAAATATAATGCGTACATCCATGGTTTATTTACGTGAACCCAGTTGTTTATGAAAAACCAATTTAGCGATATTCGTTGATTGATTTGTTATTAACCTTAATATTTTTAGTTTATTTTCAGGTTGCAAACGCTATGTTATGTAATATTAGAGCTTAGTGTTACTTAACCTATTTTATTCCTTATATAAATCTTTTATTTGATTTTATTATTGCATCACATTTCTTTTGCAATAATATTTTGAAATAGGAATTACTTAATAACAATAACATATATGGTGGGTACGAAATTGAATGTTTGTCTATTCGTCAATTCTACCTTAATTAGTTTTTTTTTAAATCCATATCTTCTTCTTCTCAGTTGTTCACTCTTGACAGAGTGGTCGTGGTTAATGACTTGCACTTTCGTTGGATAAAACAGCTCCCGCGATGCGCCTCCACTTATTCCGGTCTTCAGCGTCTCGGAAACTCTGGACTACGGAGGTTTGCGTCGTACTTTTGATAAGGTCCACCCAACGCGTAGGTGCTTGACCACGTGATCTCTTGCCCTCGACTTGTCCCAGCACATCGAGTCGTTCCATGGAGTGTTCGTTACGGAATATATATGTATAGAATAATCTCGTAAGAGGTGAAAAAAATAACATGAATATTAAATAAAACCATATATGTAGCAATGCAAGTATGTATGCATCTTCTTCTACCTGGCAATTTCCCACCTATAGCCAGGGTCTGCCTTACATGTTGTGAATAGTTTTGGCTTATTTGTTTTTACGACCGGCCGCCTGCCTGACATCAACCCTCTTTTGGGAATCAACATTAATCAGTGATGTCTAAATAGCCTTAGAAAGTACATATGACTTGGAGAAATCACATTGGTACTTGCCCGGGTCAGGATCGAACCCACGCTCTCGGCAACGACAGGCGTTCTCTTTAACCACTAGGCCACCACTGATTGACATATTTATGCATACAACTAAAAAAAACTAGTATTTGTACATACATATGCGCAGTATTATACTTATTTAACCTTAATGCACAGACCTGTTTCTAAATTACCTAACAATATTTTTAATATTACGTCTTACAAAGTTTTTGCTATTTTTTTAATTTTGCTAGTATTTATAATTAATTCTTATTTTACAAACTATATTCAATGTGGGTTATTTTAAGTTTTTTTATGTTATTCATTTATGTATTTTTTCTTTTTGTAATGTCTAATATTTTTTTTATTGTTTTGGTTGCTACTTTAAAGGAAGATTTTTTCACACAAATATAAGTGAAATAACTTTTTAAACTGGTTTTGTGACGATTTCAAGTATAGATATTCCACAATTCTATGTAAAGAACAACGCAATACAAAAAACAAAAGAATAATTAATTAGAATGTGACCTGTAATAACGTAGTATATAAGAGAAATTTAATTTCAATTCGGCCACGTAAAATTTTAGCATGCCAAAGCTGGCCCAGATTTATATTCTGAAATATAAATAGGAACAAAATAATTAATTGTACGAAATAAAGTGTCAAAAATGTTATTAAACTGTATTTGTTAGTGATAGTAACTATTTTACATGGCCCTTGGTCGTGTATTTTCTAGGAAGCTACTTTAAAAATTAATAAAAAGATATAAGATTATTAAAAAATATATTGAGTACAAGTGTTGTACTGTTTAATTTCACTCCGAGTTATCATATTTTATTTTGAAAACAAATCTGAATTTTATCATTTAAATAGGCGGCACTGGAAGTGGGACTCTGCCAATGGCAGTTGGCGTCAGACGCCGGGAAGTACTTTGAGAAAGTTCGATTAACGATTTGAGTTCCGGAGATTTAGTAGCTCTGTAATCGTATAATCGTATAAAAATTACGTCTTTTGAGACTATCATTTTTAATGGAAAACAAAGGTTTAAAGCGTTCAGCTTCAAAGTATTAAAAAAATCTAGGAAATATATGAGTAGAATAGCAAATTTCATGCAATAATACATTACCAGCGTTAGAAATAAATATTTCAAAACAGACCCAAAGATGGATCTCTGATTAAAATCCTTTAATTTCGTTTATGTTATTGTCTAGAAAACTAATTCTCTACGCCTCCATCCATGAAATTGCCCCAGCCGCGAATAATAATAATACTGAAAGTTTAGAGGAATGGTCTTTGTCAACCTTTCATCTATAATTATCTTACAACTTCACGTCGTATTGTTGGTGCTCACATACAACTAGTTAGTTGTCAGATCAGTAGCAAATTTTATGATTTTATCAGGGGAACATTTTATGACCTAAGTTTAAATTAAAATAGTTGTTTTATGTATGCAACAATACCTGTTTTTTAGATAATAGGCAAGAAGGACTGTACTGTGTTTTTATGTTTTTTCAGTCATTTTAATTTTTAATTTCTTTGGTGACAAAGACTGATTCTGTCTCTTCATTAACAAGTCTTACGACATTGATAAAATATTTTGATTATTATTTATAAAATCTGGTGATTATTAACAAAGTTTAAGCAGTCTTTCATATTTTTTAGCTTATTATTTGTTCGTCTATTCTGCAATTTGTCGATATGATCCACTTTTAATGAGAATTATTGTTTGTAAATTTGCCAGAATCATGTATTTAGGGTTTTACTCTCACTTACAAACATCTCAACTTAGCATGTCTGACTTGGGCCATACATATCAACTATATATGTAATTGGGTTGTATAGATTTAGATCTTTTTATTTTTAAGCAGGATTTCGTTGTTTATATTACTTAGAAATGTATATAAGTATTAATTGCAAAATGCAACGTAGGACAATCTTTTTTTGTTAGGTTTTTAACATTATCAGCTAATTATAACCACTCCTACATTTTTTTCTGAATACACGTATGAGTAAATTTTATTAGGAAGTAGCATCTTATTAATTATATTAATTTTATTTCATAATATTAAAAACTGCAACAAGACTCATACATATTTTTGATTACAACATCCATTTAAACTATTCAATTGTACTTTTATAACATAGGCTTTGGATGTTATTTTATAAGGAGTGAATTCCTTATTTTATTTTTTATTAAAACAAAAATATTATTAATAACGTTCGGAAGGCAAAAAACTTTTTAGAAAGAATATAAATCGTTTACAGAACCACTTTACGAGGGTCTGAAAAAAGAAAAGTGGGTTTCCAATCAAACTGACCATTCTTTTGGTTTCAATTTACCCTTCCAATATAATGCTTTGTTTTCTCGAGATGCTGTGACATTTTATAGTCTCTTTCAATAAAAAAGTTAAGTTTTATTTAGGTATATATGGAGTGATACGTCAAATTGTTTTGTAGTCGAGTTTTTTTGTGACTATAAAAAACAGTTGACAATGTGTGTTTATTATTTGTAAAAGGGTTAACGAATTCAAGGAATAAAAGTATATAGAAATATTTAATGTCAAATTATCCTGTACCTTAAACAGGAAATAAAAAGTGTCTGATGTAAATCTCTTCAGTAAATAAAATAGCAACAGCCTGATTACTTTTCTTCTTCTGTAACAAAAAAAAACGATTAATTTTTCCTTGTACCAATTTATATTTTAATTTATTTAATGCCATAAAGTAATTTTCATAACGTTATACAAAATGATATTATACAGATTTCTTTGAACTATCCACGTCTTAGCAGCGAAACAATGTTTTATACGAAATTTGATTTGTAAGTAAGTGTTGTAGCGAAAATAATATAAAATTCCTTATGTATAATTAGTTTTACTTTAATTTGTATAGTTTTATAATGTATGATTATGTCTCAAGAATTAACTACATTATGTTTTTTATAGTACTTACATTATGTTTTTTTTATTATAATGACAACTTTCATATCATTCATCAAATGTCAATGGCAAAGTAATAAAAATATGGAATATAAAAAAGTTGCTTACCACGTAAATTCAAACCGAACATATTTTTTCGTTCCTCTGGTGTATAATCAGCAAATTTATTTATATCAAATGTAGCATGTGAGGACTCTGCATTTGCTTTGTTTATACTTTTCAGAGTTTTGATGAATGCTTGGAAATGCTCTTCTCTGTCCGCTTCATCCTTGTAGTTTCGGTTGTAATCCTTTGTAAATTTCTCAAATAAATCAGGCGCATCTTTAATATCATAATGTGGTTTATTTTCCTTTCGACATTGCACACACAGCGAAATATAAGAGACAAATAAGCGTTTACACTATTACGACGCGTAATTTACTGTGAATCATACAAAATACCAATGACGAGTGAATCACTCATTTTAATAACTGCAGCAAAGATAAAATATACTAATTCAGTAAGTCTAGTCTTTTATTTTTTATTATTTATCAAGTTTTATTTTATATTATTTATTTTGTATCATTTGAACAATTTTATTATTAAGCCTTACGATGTTCCGATAGATGTTCCATAAGTATTTTTGAAGTGATACAATGATGTATTGAACAGAAATAAATATAATTTTCTATTTCCTAAAATTTTATGAACTTATACACAGATTCCATATAATTTACCAGTGATATTTGTAATGAGTAGAAAGTAAATTCGCCATTTATTTCATCTTAATTGTGGTTTGGATGTCTAATAAAACTAATATTTTACCAAAAGTAACATTTTGTAAGAATAATGTATATATATATATATATATATATATATTTATATACATTGAAATAATGTAGTAAACTTTCATATAAATCTGAAATAATACTAGAGATGTTATTGTCTGCTGACTGTTTGTCAAGGGACGGGATTTTTAAGCAAAGGTAAAGAATAAAGTATCTATATCTATTAAGTAGGATGCAAAATAGTTTAAACTTGACTTTTATACGACACAATTGAAATGATCCATCAGTGTGTTGTGTTTTACTATGAATGATGAAATAATATTCCTATGTATTAAACACTTATGCCTGTGTGTATGACGTAACAAATCAATTCGCAATACTTCGTGCACACCTGGCATTATTGTATTATATTTAATTGCATTGTTACATATTCAAATATTCTATCAATAAACATGTTCCGTACATAGAATAATAAAAAAAATACTTTTTGTTTTTCCAACAAACGAGAAGTACTGATTACAAAACGTTTCTAATGTAACATATTTTTATGAAAATATTATACTACATGCGAATGTCACTGGAATCTAAATATTGTATATTAATAATAATGATTGTTTGAGATACAAAGGTAAACAGTCAATCGATCTTCTTATTTTTCACATGTGCTTTCCTGAAATAAGCAGTGGTCCAAATATTAGATTATACTTTAACTACTTAGTTTTATTTTTATTAGCATAAAATAACAAGTAAGATAAATTAAAAAAAATCTTATGCACTTTAAGACTATTGACAACAAATGATTTTAAAAAATAGACCAATTGTAAAAAAAAAAGAATATGCGGCTAGTTTTAATTGTAATCTTTCATTGAACTAGAAAATGATCAAAATAATGGATATTAATTAAGTATTAATTCATATTAAATGTATCAAACTAACATTTGACAATGCTCATACCACTTACAAAATGATATTTTTTTCAACAAGAAAAGTTTGTTTATAATATAACTATACTAACCATCCATGATTATTTTGCAGTGACGAAATTTGTTTAATTTTGTACTTTGATTGCATTAAATTAATCTGGTTTCATGGGAATCTAGAGCAAAAAAATTCAAAATATTTACAATTCCAACCCTTAACTTTAATACATATAATAATGAAAAGAAACAACAAAACATCTGCAAGGTTGATTAGAGTTATCAATAAGGTACAAGACCAAAACGATTTATCATCTTTATATAAAGTCATCAAATTTGTAAATATCAAATACAGCGCTTGATTGGTCCTTATTAGCTTTAATGATTTCTTTCAAAGTTTGAACATATAGTGCTCCTTCCTGTTAGCTTCATTTTTATAATGTCTGTTAGAGACTTCAACAAATTTTTCAAATACAGTAGGAGCATATATTGAGCAAAGTGTGGGTTTTATAATGCGTGAGTCATAATTACTTCAAATGAAAGAAACAAAAATAAATAAATAAATAAATGTTTAAAAGTAGTATATAGCATTAAATATCGTAACAATGAAGTGAGTTGTCTGAGTAAATGAAACGTTGTAGCTGCAAATGAGATAAGCGTTAGTCATTACTAAGAATTATATGGACCTTTTGTTTCGCTTCAATTTATTTTTTTACAATATTTCCTTTTATTTATTTGTGAAATTATAGTTTAACATATTTTCTATAACTTTCCGAGAAAATCAATAGATACCGTTTTGCCTAACTCATTTTATGACATTTGTAAAAAAGTTATATTTATTTCATTTTACTTTGCGAAAAGGCTTTACCTCATTAATCCTATAATTGGGAACGGTGTGATTATGTCTTAGTCTAAGTTGGCACTTTCATGCTACATACGGAGCGTAAACAGTTAACATTAATAAATCTTCGCACATAATAGTACCGACAACGGTAATTAAATAAGTAATGGGAAACGGTATGTTTTACAGTGTGACGATATAAATTTGGACTATGCATTCAGTGGAGTCCCTTCGATTTCATAAAGTACATAAGGAAATAAATTATATGTTTCAAATCAAAGTACTTCGCTGCATATCAAGATCATCATGCCCCCGTTTGTTGGAATCAACTTACTCACTCTCTCTCTCCTACTTCTCTACATTTGTGTATCTTTTTTTCTCACACCCTCTTGCGTTTCAATATTGGACGCTTCTCGTAACTAACGTGCCCCCTAACCGAAAACACGTATAGTACGCGTATGAGTGCGAACGTCACGCATTCTCTCTCGCTCTATCTCTTTTTATCCCCCTTTCCCGTAGGTTTGAACGCTTAACGCAACTTTGTTGAAAGTCGCATAAAAAGTTTCACTTCAATAATAAATGTAAGAATCAAACTTTTATGGCAACATATGTCACACCTTCCTTATTACCTTTCTGACTCTTACGTAAATTTCAAAAATAATTGAAATAGTTGAAAGTAATTTGCTATTCATTACTTATAATCAATAAAACAGGTATTCAAAAAGTATGCACTAAGATAATATGGTTGTTAATAATATTTACTAAGTGTTTGTCACATTATTACGACTTAGACATACAAACAATAATTTACATTAATTTTTATGAGGAGTCTATACAATGAAGTTTTAATATAAAATAATAATCCTTAATCATTGTTTGAACGTAGAAGAATTGTCTACTTTATGGTTTCAATTGAAGTGAATTGAATTTGAAAAAGAACCTATTCTGTATTTAGGAACGAAATTATTCAAAGAGGGTGTACACTTTTATTTTGTATTATCAAGTAATTTGGACAAAATCTTATTACAAAAATTCAAACTGAATACTTTTTGCCTTTCTGGTGTGTTAGGTCATTTTCTAATATTTTTATCACAAATGTAACAGTAAAAGACTTTATACTTTGTTTTCATTATTTATATATAAGAATGCCTTGAAATATTTGTCTTGGTTCTCTTGATACTTAAAGTTTCTGTTGTAATCCTTGGTAATTTTCTAAATACTATAATGTGGCTTACCGTTTTTAAAAGGCGATTCCACTGTTTACGGTATTTGAAGCAAGATACGATTTCCTTTACTTTGTATTATACTGTCACCATCTATCACAAGCTTAATAATTATTATATAATCTAGATGAAAATCATCCTGATGCTAAATTTTTCTGTGATTTTAATGTTTCTTATAACCCCATCAGGATATACATTTATGCTTTAAAAAAAGCAATAAATAAAAACAGACTGCTACTTCTAATTTTACATCTACAATTGATTTTTAGGTACTTAAGTAATTCAATGACAATCGTAATTTAAATTGATTTTTGAGAAACAATCACGCAACGCTTAATTTCTGTACATGACCTATATTATAGGTTATTAGTTAATAATCGTAATTGACCAACGCACTTAAAGGATTTATCTGGACGATGAGAAAAGTTTTACAATTGATTTCATTTCGTGAATTTTATTTAATTATTCAAATGATGTAAAAAATCATACAAATCCACTTTCTTTCCTGTAACAAATAAACGACTTTTATTTCAAAACGTACACATAAATGATAAGACAAATCGATTTAGGGAGCTGTTTTGAAACTTATAAAAAAATATATTTTTAAAACGTTTGCAATATTGAAAAGAAGCAGGTAAAACATACACTTTAAGGCATTTTTACACATCCATATTCAAATATAGTAATTGTTTTGTGATGGCAGTTAGAAAAAAAAATAATCTCTCTTACCCTGATTATTATTATAATCAAAGCCAAGATGATGTTCCCGTTCTTCTTTTGTATAATCAGAAAATAGATTAATATCAAAAACAGCACTTGGTTGTTCCGCGTTAGCTCTATTAATTACTTTCAAAGTTTCAACAAATGCTTCGTAATGTTCCTGCCTATCAACTTCATCTTTATAATGTCTATCATAGTCTTTAACAAATTTTTCAAATAAAGCAGGAGCGTCTTTTAAATGATAGTATGGTTTCTTTAATGCATAGCTCACAGTTACTGCAAGTGAAAGGAAACATATTATTAAAATTTTCATATTTTAAGTTGTATACAGCTTAATGTCGTAATAATGAAATGAGTTTGCTGAATAAATTGCACGCTACAGGTATATATGTAGTTGCAAATGAGATAAGCGACTACTTACAAATTATGTTAACCTTTTGTTTCGCATAAATTAATTTTGTCAACAATATTTCCTTATATTTAATAATGAAATTATAGTTTAATTTTTATTTTTGAAAGTTTATAATGTTTTGTCGAATTTTACTTAAGGAACCAAATAAATATTTAAAAAGCAATTCTTCATTTAGGGTCTTATAATTCATTGCAGTACATTCTATTTATAATATTAATTTAGAATCAGATGCATTGTATTATTTATAACCAAATAGAAAATTAAAAAAAAATCATTTAAAATTTTATGAAATAATTATCTTAGGCCAGTTTTAGAACAGAAAATGTTAAAAAAGAATAATTTAATTCGTAGTAAAAAGTGTGGGGTGCTCGATATTGAATTTTACAATCATTCTAGTGATATATAGATCCAGTAGAGGAAAGATATGAAACGTAGTCCACCCCACGCTTTTCACTCTGAATTAAATTATTCTGGTAATAACTTATATTTTATTATAATTTTATTATGAGGTGATTAACTATGAATGATTGTTTGACCTTCCACTACTGTAATGTATTTGCTTTGTAATTGAAAATTATTTTCTTTCTTTAAGTTCGTTTAGCTAAAAAAGCCCTTGTCAACCCTTATTTATTTTTAAATTTTTTAGTTCAATTAATTTTAAAAACGAAGGTTTACACATGGTGAAGAACGACACTTACTTTATTTCTCTCAGTCCACTACAGAGGATCTATAAAAGAATTCATTAATCCTGATGGTGCTAATAAGGATAATGGAAAACTTTTATCACGTAATTGCATTGTTATCGGTCCTTGATACGTATACAAAGTTTTAAGTTATTCAGACTTCTAGAAACATTCCGTTACAATCATACATATAAGACAAGCCAATAAAAGCTACTTAAAAAATAAAAAAGAAAACGAGAATTACGTCTGAAAAATATTGTTCTATTTAAATCTATAATGATATTTAATAAAAATAATGGCTCTGAAAGTAAAAAAGTAAACTCAAATTATAATATTGAAAATGTTTCCGTTTGAAATTTTCGTTTGAGTTTATAGTGTTTTAATACTGATTTCATATATAGTTTTATAAATTATAATCATTCTTTTTACACTTTAAAAAGTACCTGTATGAAGAAAGACAATTAAAACAGATAAAATTAACAACTATTATGAAAATTTCAGTTTATACAATAAAAAATAAGTAATCATTATACGTTTCTAAACTTCTTGCAAAATTCAGTTATTATTCACATAAAGTCTATCTTATTCATCTTTGTAATGTCTATTGTACCTTTTTTTAAAAAAAATTAAATCATAAGCATCCTTATAAACTTGTTAAGCCACATAAGTGATATTTAAAATATAAAAAAAACATAAAAGTATATAGTCAAATAATATAAACGCTGAAAATGTTGTAAAATATTACATTTGTACAGTCCATGTTAATAAAATAAATGTTTCTATGAGTACCGCCACAAAGTTTTCACATTTTTAAGTTTTCCAGTCATCAAATAAGTCAATAAATACCGTTTTCTTTTTTGAACTCATTTTATGACGTCTTTAAGAAAGTAATTCTTATTTCATGTTACTTTTCGAAAAACTAATTACTCAATACTCAAATATGGTATTCAAAGAATGTACTTTAATAATATGTGGTCATTATAATTATACATGGTCGTAATTAAATATTGTATGATTTATATAACAAATAGTTACTAAATAGACAAACAAACTATTTGTAATAACATAAATTTTAATGAGAAGGCTATGCGAATGAAGTTTTAATACAGAATAATAATCATTTATAACATTTTACTTTACATTTATGAATTCATTAACAAATATGTTGTAGAGCAATTTAGCTCAGAATGTTACTCATTGTTTTAAATTAGAATACAATTATTTATAAACGTAATTATTCAAAGGAGATATAAAACTTTTACTTCTTGAAGAACCTTTTTAGTTTGATCAAGTAATTCGGGAAAATCGTACATGATCCCGAGCCGTGTTATTGAAAGTCTTAATGGACATTTTATGGTGTTAACTTTTATGTGACATATTAGTGTGGCTTTAATTGTGTGCTAATGAAATTAATGATCATGTTCCAAGAATTCCAGATATAAATATGTGTTTATGAGTAAATAGTTTTTCACACAGTCCAATACTAATGACAAAATCAATGAGAAAAATTCATATCAAAAAGCTTCTTATCACGTTAATTCTAACCGACCATATTTTGTCATGCTTCTGGTATATAAGGCAATTTTCCAATATTTTTATCACAAATGTAATATAACGATACTTTGTATTATCTTTCCATTATTTATATATGAATGTCTAGAAACGCTCGTCGAGGTCCACCATGTCCTTAAAAGTTTCTATTGTAATCTTCAAGATACGATTCCCTTTACTTTTTTGTATTATATTATACTGTCATCGACTATCATAAACTCAAGAATTATATAATCTAGTTAAAAATCATTCTGACGCTAAATTATTCTGCGACTTTAAAGTTTCTTATATTGAAAAGATCTCATCAGAACCTATTAGCTTTTAAAATGGAATAAAAAAAGAGACCCCTAGTTCAAATTTTAAAATCACAATTGATTTTAAGGAATTTAAGAAATTAAATGGTAATCGTGATTGGAATTGATTTTTTAATAACATTCACTTAATGCTTTAATTTCTATTCATGACCAATATGGTAGTTTATTAGTTATTTACCACATTTTTAACCATCAAATTATATTTATTTTTAGTTTTTCAACATTGGAAATATACATACTATGTTTAAAAGAAATATCAAAAAAATCACTTTTATGTTAATTTATGAGAGTATAAATAGAAGATTCATATTCAAATATATCAAAAGTAACTTTGTGATGGCATTTATAAAAAAACTAATCTTTCTTACCATGACTATGATCAAGGTGGCCATAATGATGCTCAAGCTCTTCTTTTGTATAATCAGATTAATATCAAAAACAGCACTTGAATGTTCCGAGTTAGCTTCATTGATGTCGAATAAATGCTTCGTAATGCATCTCACTATAAGTTTCATCTTTATAAAGTCTATTGTAATCTTTAACAAATTATCTCAAATAATGCAAGAGCATCTTTTAGATCATAGTGTGGTTTCTTTAATGCTTTAGCCATAGTTACTGTAAGTGAAAAGAAAGATATTGTTAAAAAAATCATGGTTTAAAGTAGTATGTATACTCGTATAGCTAATGTCATAATAATGAAATGAGTTTGAAGATAAATTACAGTCTATATATATACATATATATTATATTTGTATATGCTACATATAATATACGGTGCAAATGAGATAAGCGTTCATTACCCTCAAATAATGTGGACCTTTTGTTTCGCTTTTGTTTATTTTTTTAACAATATTAATTCCTTTCATTTTTATGTGGATATATATTTTTATTTGTATATTTTTAAATAGATCATAATACTTTGTCGATTTTTAATTTTACATGTAAAAACTGAAAAAGCAATTATTCATTTAGTGTCTTATAATTTATTACAATATTTTCAATATATTTATTAGTTTAGAATCAAATTCATTGTATTATTAATAAATAACTAATATGTGGATAAAAAAACCTTCTTTTAAATTTTGATGAATTACATATTTTCAGACAACTTTATAACAAAAATGTTTAAATATTACAAAAAATTAGTCTATGAACGAATAGATATGAGTATAACTGTCCTAGACTGGTCTCTTTAAAAGGATCAAGACCTTGTAACTCGTACTGAAATCTCAGACTTTCACGAGTACACATTTTTATAAAACAATGTTTTAAGAGACTGTTTCCGTTGTTGAATATTTTCGAAATTACAGTTGAATTAAAAAAAAGGAAACGCGAATGAAATGTGAAAAGTATTGTTGTATTTAAACCTATAACAAATTAAATATAATAAAAATAATAATGGCTCTCAAAATAAAAAAGTAATTATAAATTATTGCATAGAAAATGTTGGGTTAATAATTTTTTATTGGGTTTCCATTTTAAATTTTTGTTTCAGCTTATAGTGTTTTAATACTGACTTCATGTTCATTTTATAAATTGTAATTGTCCTTTTTCAAAATTTTTAAAATAACCTCAATGAAGATAGATAACTAACTCAGAAGCATCCTTTAAAACTTATTGAGGAACATAAGGTAAATCAAGAAAAAAAAATAGAGGTATACAGTCAAAGGATATAAAGGCTAAATATATTGTAGTCTATTTAATAAAAAAAATATATGTTAAAAAAATAAATGTATTTATTAGTACTGCCATAAAGTTTTTACATTTACAAGTTTTCCAGTTATGAAAAACTTTCCGAGTCAATCAACATCGTTTTCTTTTTTGAAATCATTTTGAGACATCTGAAAGAAAGTTATATTTATTACATGCTACTTTCCGAAAAAAAACAAATTAAAAAATAAATTCTAAATACTGTAATGTGTCTTATCGTTTTATAAAGGAGATGCTACTGTTTAATCTCTTATTTTTTTAAATCATAGTCTCACCCTCTATCTTAAGCACAAAAATATTATATAATCTAGTTGAAAATCATGATGACGCAACATCCTTGTGTGATTTTAAAGTTTCTTATATTGTATGACCCCATCAGGAAATAAAACCAGACTGCTACATCTAATTTTAAAACCACAATAGATTTTTAAGTACTCAAGAAATTAAAGGAGAATCGAGATTTAAATTGGTTTTTGAAAATGATTTTAAAATTATTTTTGAATATGTAACATTTAGGTAATGCTTTAATTTCTGGACATGATAGATGTCATAGTGTGTTATGAATATAAAAGGACGAAAAGAAAAGTCTTTAAAGTGTCTTGATTTCATTACAAACTCACTTTTACTCCTTAAACAAATAAATTATTCCTAGTTCAAAACGTAGATATGCATAAATGATATAACAAATCGATTTAGGGTGCTGTGTGCAAACGTGATATCGTTATGTTAGAGTCCAGTAGTATATTATTGAAAAATCAACAACATATGTATTAGTTCCCTTACTCATAAAAAGTTTTTTTACATTGGAAAAAAATACTTCATACAAAACAGGTTTTAATAAAATAAAATTTAAGGCATTTTTATTTTATTTTATGACAGTCAAATCCGAAGATCCATATTCATATATATCAAATAGATATTGCTTTGTGATGGCAGTTAGAAAAAATTATTCTGTCTTACCAGGTTTATTAACAATGAAGCCAAGATGATGTTCCTGTTCTTCTTTTGTGTAATCAGCAAAAAGATTTATATCAAAAACAGCATTTGAACTTTCCGCGTTAGCCTTATTGATGTCTTTCAAACTTTCAACAAATGCTTCGTAATGCACCTGCCTATCAGCTTCATTTTTATAATGTCTATTGTAGTCTTTAACAAACTTTTCAAATAATGCGGGAGCATCTTTCAGATCATAGTGTGGTTTCTTTAATGCATAGGCCACAGTTACTACAAGTGAAAAGAAAAATATTATTAAAAATTTCATCTTTTAAAGTAGTATATAGCTTAGTGTCGTAAAAATGAAGTGAGTTTGCTGATTGAATTGCACGCTATATATATATATGAAGGTGCAAATGAGATAAGCGTTAGTTTTCCTATTAGATATGTTTCTTTTGTTTCGTTTTAATTTATTTTGTTTTAGAATATTTAATATTATGTCTTTATGTCATGTTGTTTCATGCTATAATTGGAATCGCTTTTACTATTGTTAAATATCATATAACACTTAATAGATTTAAAAAACATACTTATTCAAATAGCGCTTCTTCATTGATTATTTTCGAATAATTTATAGTAATCTGTTTTATTTTCTAATAAATACATGTAAAATGTAAGAGTAAGGTAGTAGTATCTCGATTACCCGAGAACACGGTTTTTTAAATAGTATACTACATATTAAATGTCGATTTAAATTAAAATATCGGAACGTAGACTTAAACAAAAATAAATTATAAATCCGAAAATTATTGTATACCTGTTGTTAAATCTTTTAAACATGGCATAGATTGATGTACAAAAATATACGGACAATGATAATTAATATCTTATCTCTTCTCTAAAGTTGGAGCTACTTATGCAAAACTTAAGTTTTTCATACTATCAATACTTTAGAGACAAAAATTTTTTTAATGACAAATCATTAAATTTGCCAAAGTTGACAAACATAAGTGGTATGTTTTTTTTAAATTTTGTAGTGCTGTTTTGTTCTGTTCTTTTTGTTACTTATTATTTTTCGTTTTCCTATCTTAGTGAAATTAAGAATAAGTGAGCTTCCCAGTTTTTTCAGATGATTAGGTTTTTAACATTACAAATAAAAAATGCTTGTATATAAATTTAAGTATAATGAAAAATTATTGAATTGATGGTAGCTTAATCGGTAGAGCAACTAAGGTGCGATATTCTGGAGCTTACAAGCTTGAAGCCGGCTCGTATTTGTGTGAATTTTTATTCAAGTATTAATAACCCATTAAGTCCAACATAAGTCACAAAAAACTAACATCCTATCTGATATGAACTGGTTACTGGAACCTATAGATGCTTGAACGGTTATTTCTTTAGCATTGTCGACTCTCAAGTTTTTGTCACTTATATATTTCAAATTTATAAATAAAATTAATATTTCAAAACGAATGTGTATGTCATGATGCATCACGATATGGCATACCAACACGATTATCCATGTAAGTAATGCAAAATTCTTTAAGTAATTGAAATAGTTGGAAATAAATTTTTGTTATATTAGGTACAGACAATAAAACTGGTATTTAACGAATTATGTGATGTGTTGTGATGTTAAGCATTGTATTTGATATACGTAATGCTATGTTGATATAAGAATAAATCTTTATTACGTCTATCTTTTCATATCTTTATTGAAATACTCCTATACTCCTATATATACTGTATCCTAACAAAAACGTGTAATTTTTTTTTTCATCATCACATCGTTTTTAACCGCTCCCTTATTTACTTAATACCTTTCATTATTGAAGAGCAATTGATAAATTCATATTAATATAAATGACAAATGATTACAATAAGTTAGCGAACAAAAACATATTTTTAGTTTTTCAACAGTAATTAAATCGAATCGATTTAACATCAATATTAATAGAGAATAAGTGTGAAGTTTTACTTCAAGGTAATTATAATGTATGACTCTAATCTCATTAAATTCTTTACTTTCCTAATTGCTTTTAATTTGTAAATGAAAACGTTAAGAATAAATTCATGCATTAGTCATGGGTGAAACGTGACTCTATTTTTAAATTAGAATATGCATAGTCTAGCCATAAATATTGTTGCAAATAGAAGAATATTTTTTTTATTGCAAATAAGAGTTATTACTTTTACAGTATGTACGTTTAATACATAAATATAAAACAATTTAAAACATAAAAAGCTTATTCGAAGTGGTCTCCATTGTCTCTAAAACAGTCCTTTAAACGTTGAGGCCAGTTATCAATAGAACCACTCACTTTTTCCATGAGAAAATTCTTCACTGCCAATCGTATGGATTGTTTTGGGAGTCCAAATTATCAAGGTGTTTAGAGCAGATCCTAATCACTAAAACTCACCATAAATAATAATCATGCGGCTTAAGATCGGGAATAGACGACGGTCAGTCTTCAGCTCTGATGAAGTCGGAAACGTTTGTTTCCAACCAAGACTGCGCAGACTGAGCTTTATGACCCGGCGCCGAGTCTTGGTGGAAGGACCATTATTGGTTAGTGAACATGGAGTTGTTATGGGGCTTAACTACCTTCTCAAGAATGGTATTTTGATACACTTGTGTTGATGTTTTGATACCTTTTTCACAAAAGTATGGCTCAGTCACTCCTCCATAGCTAACACCTCAGCAAAAACATCACTGAAGTCGGATAAGGCCCACGTTGCGCTCTGTCGACTAATTGGGAAACTTTCTTAGAGCTTGGAGCATAAATGCGACCATTTTATTTGTATTTTAACAAATTGCTCAATTGTAAAAATTTTCTCATTCGTAAACAATATTTTTTCTGTAAGTTCCCTTTGCGTACCGCTTCAGTTTTTGTTTAGATTTTATCACCCTAGTCTGTTTAAAATTATCATTTAAAATATGTCTAGTGCGTTTCTTATAGGCTGCAAGTTCTAAATCATTTTTTAAAATACGCGACATGGTTCTAGGTACTAAATTGATCTCCCGAGATAAAATCTTTTGCTTTCGGACAGGATTTCTTCGAATTCATTCCCTTACTGCTGTGACCACCTTTTACGTACGAAAGATCAGATGTTTTTCTGTCATAAACCAAGAACGTTTCATTATACTCATTAATAGGCCGGTACACAAACATGTGACTAATGCCAAGCGTATGGAGAATTTTAAAAATTGCATTTGGTTTCCTACCCACTTTGTGTAAAGCAATCACAGCGGTTCGGTTCTCTTTATCACCCCACTCCATTTTAATATCTCAAAATATTGAAAAATGTATTGGCGCCAAAATAAGAAAACACAATGAAAAATTTTATAAAATTGACAGATTTGAAGATTAAAGATTTTTTTATTACTCATAGAATACAAGACAATCTGATTTTTATTTACTAGTATATATATCTGTATTTTTTTACAGGCAGCCATCCTCGATAAGACTACTGAGTCTGCGTAGAGATGGGATGACTCTTAGTTCATTATTAATTTAAAAAGATACACTTGACTCCCTTTTCTATGAAAGACCCATTGAGATGTGGGACTTAACCCCTTGATTTTGTCTGGCAAGCGTGGAACACAACGTCATAATCTTTTCACGTCTTCAAACTGTTTGTGTATACGCGATGATTATTATCAGACAGATTTGCTCTAAAGGCTTTTGTCATACGCCAATACACATGGGACAAAAGGTTGTTAGAATTCTTGGAGACTGAGGCGAAGTGAAGTCGTGCCTTCTTGTCGTAGCCGGGGGGAACTACCTTCTGACTCATGATAATAAAATTAAGTTTTAAAACAGATATATCTATATATATAAAAGAAAGTCGTGTTAGTTACTCCACTTATAACTCAAGAACGGCTGAACCGATTTAGCTGAAAATTGGCAGGGAGATAGTCTAGAGCCAGGAAATTGCAATAGAATACTTTTTATCCCGTTCGACAGCATTCCCGTGGGACTTGACAGGAAACGTCAGTCACTATAAAACGTAGAATAACGAAACACAATTGACAGATATGCAATTGACGTATAATGACACATATGTAATGACGTAATGATGACAATTAGATATTTGTAAGAGGTCTACTATATAAAAGTAAGTCCCGTTTTCCATCCCGACGCTATAACTTCAGAACGAACGAACTAATTTCCACGGTTTTGCATTCGTTGGAAAGGTCTCGGGCTCCGTGAGCTTTGTAACAGAAAATTTCAACAGAAAAACGGGAAAATCTTTTTTCACATACAGCGCCATCATACATAACATGTACTACAAATCAATATTTTAAGTAAATGGTGCCGGTGCATGATACATTGGTTGACAGTTACTCATGGTTCTCTGTTCAGTTAATTTTATGTGACAAACCGGTATTGTGTTTGTAGTTGGAACTCTTAAAACCATTTAGTATTTGCGGGATAAATTTAGAAAACATTGTTTTTCACATGGGCGCTATATTTTTGCGTGTTCACGAGTTTGGAAACCATCCGCTTTATTTGTATTAAAGTTAGACCAAAAAACAAAATGTGGTTTACAAAGGACCACTTCAATGAAACGGATAATTTGCGAACACGTATAACGCTTCGATTCGGTATCTACTTTGGATTCACTTTCATTTACTTAGAGAAGTTCAACTAAATAACACTTCATTTTTGTAATCGAAATGAATTAATTACTGTTGTGAAATGAAATAAAAATTTTCCTTTTCAAATATAAAACAAAAAAAAATTCTTCATCTTTTAATCACCAAACGAAATGTTATATAAAAGCCTTCTGGTGGCGAAACGGAGTTCGCCAGGTTTACTAGTTTGTTAATAAAATATGTCAATGTGAATTTATTATTTTGATGTGTTTTCTATTATTAATTAATGACATTAATATATCGTTCACTTGTTATTGCTATTCAAAATTTTTACAGAATTGTTGAGTATTCTTTACTTGTCTAGAAGAGTTAATGTTTGATGTTTTTATGCGACTGCTGTCTGTTTAGGAATTTCAGGGATGCTATTAATATGGCTGTTTTAGCTTGTTCAGATTTTGATAAAACATTTTTGCTAGTACACATTTTAGTAAAAAACTTTGTTTGTGTATTAAATTACACTTCCGCAGGTAATCGTAACCTCATCCATGCTCTTTCAGGTAAAAATTAGAATCTATTTGAATTTATTACAGAAAAAAGGCTACATCGTCATCATCAGCCTATCAGTGCCCACTGCTGAGCAACGGTCTCTTTCTCACATGGAGAAGGTTTGAGCATTAATCACTACGCTTGC